GATCTAATAGAGACAAATTACTGCAGTATATCTGGAATGAAAGATCAGTGTTGAAAAATGCTTGATAATAGAATCTTTTATTTCAGTGCGCAATGTCTCCCCCCACTGAACTGTGAATCCGCATTCATAAATAATAGCTGCTGTGTCAATAACTTTGACAACCTTTCCACCCAGAGTTAAACAAATGACTCTGTGCCTAAACTGAGGAAATTAAACGTAAGCTTTTTTTCTGTTGAACGATGTTTACCGCATGACGCACAACTCTTAATGTGTTATTGTAGTTATGTGAAACTGTAGATGTGTGTTTCATATGATGCAGCATTTCTTTATCAAGGATAGTGCTGTTTTAGTAGAGCTGGTTATTGCCGGGACACATATGCACAGACAATATGCAAGCAATTATTACTGTGCAATTAGGAGAAATTTCTATTAACTGCAGAAAATGAAACAATAGCATTAATCAAGCATTCCAGTTCTTCATTCTCTTATGAAAATCAAATAACTGAGTGGATACTTTTTTTTTTTTTGAGTGTGTGTCTGGCTCGTGACGCAGAAGGTGTGCGTGGACTGTAAACGCGTGGTATTTTTCACAGTATAAACAGGCTGGTTCATTTCACTGGCCTTATTTCTGTCCCTTCTTTTGATGACGTGCATCCATACCTATTATAGAGCTACAAAGCGATGCAACCCATACACCTTTTCATCCTGGTCTCATTCTCATTATTCATGCAGGCAAGCAGGATCCAAGCTGTAAGGTTGCTATTGCACAAGCGATTCTACAAAAGAATTAAGCCCTTTCACAGCTGTCATTTTCAGATTTGCAGAAGACAAATCAGGGGCACATGGCAGAGAACAGGCGAAAGCAATTTTACTGAGGAGAGCAACAGAGCATAACCCTATTGATAGGGTTGTCAGTGAATACTGCAAATCTTCTGTGTCTAAACACAAATAAGGCGAAAGATCTCCCGATCTGGAACAACAGTTTCAAACAAGTTGAAAATGCTACCCACTGTAACGACTCCTACCTTGGTTTTCAGAGCAGACTCAAGGAAAATTCCCTCAAGGTTGGTATGTTCAGAAGAAAAAAAAAATCAGTGAAAAGCCTCAAGGAGACAAACTGTTTGTCTGGCAAGAAACAAGGAATCATGAAGACAAGAAAGAGAAGACGATGCAGAGAAGGAGCCAAAAGGTCAACTTTGGGCAAGCTCTGAAGGTCAAGAGATGAAATCTGTTTTGTAAATGTTCCAAGCTGGCAGAAAGGATGACAGAAGGGCAGGCCAGAAGATGAGCAGCTGTTTTGAGGAAAACAAGGACAAGCTACAATAGAACCAGCTACAGCAATGCATGCACACAAGAAAGAGGCTGACATATTGTTGGTAAGCACATTTGGAAAAATACATACTGCATTTAAGTAGCGTCTCATTAATTAAACCGCACTGATAAATGTGTATTTTTCCAGTTTTTCATCACTTAAATCAAATTTGCACTTGAATTTAGAAGACATGTGACAGACTTACAGGTTTATTTCAATAAGCCACATTGATATGTAAAATATGGTCCATAATTGTGCCATCAGCAAGTTAGAGATGCTAGCTGTTCTCTCAGATATTGTAACTGTGCTTTACTGTAGTATGGCAGCCCTTCACCAAAAACATTGCAACATGGGGTGAGTGAACTTTACCCAGCAGCCAGAAAACCACAATTGTAGTCTCACATGTTTGAGATTTTTATTGAGTTTGAAATTTAGAGATGAACAGGTAACAAGATCCATCTGTATTGCAGACTGGTATTCTCGAATGGTTCTTTTTTTGTCTGTAGTTATACAACATTTATACAGGCTGCTGGTGAAGTCCTTCCATCCAGTTTACACACTCGCACAAAGCAGACACACATCTCCTACGTCTTTCCACAGAACACATGTTGGTATGCTCCCTGCTTCCACACATTTCTACCTGTCATCTTTGAAACCGGCACAGTAAAGCTACTAACACTCCCCACAGGCAACAACTCAAATGCAGGAATCAGCACCCCTTTCCTTTTCTCTTTTCTTCATTTGCTCTCCTCTCTCAAGAAGCAGAGGATCTCTGCTTATCTTGGCAGAGCTGTCATGCCGACAGAGCAGTTATTATCACCTTCTCCTTGCTTGAGACTTCCAAGAGGCGAACGAACACCTTGCTAATCAGCCCCTTACTGTCATGCCCAGTCGTATTCTGTATAGCTAACGTGGCAGCCAACATAACAACAGCAACAATACACAACAATCAAAGATAAACCCTACCACAAATGAAACATAGGGTGGCTTAAAAAGCAGAAAAGAAGGTGAGGGTGATACAGCTTAACTCAGCACCTACCACTTCATAAGCAAACAAAGACTTATGCAAACAAGTCTATTAGCCTGTCACCCTGCCTCTGCCCCTGTTTAAATCAAGCCTGTAAAAAGTGCTGAATGCTAATTGAGCATAAGCTCTATGTTACCAAGCTGAGCTCTGCCACAGACACAGTTCTTAAGCACTGCAATAAATATTCATCTTGACAAATGTTTTATTATTACATTTAAGCCCATTTAGACATGCATTCCTTTGCATTAATCTGATGGTATCTGAATGTGTCAGCATGTCTGAATGGGCAGCCTGGTCACTGTTCTGTAAAAGTCACAACAGCAATCTTAGTGGCTCAGACCGAGTCATATTTACTAAACACTTTCAACAAGGCACTGAACAGCAAGTCACTGTATGAACAGATTTCATCCAAAATCATCACAGAAAAGGAAGTTTGCATGCTCCACATTTCATCTAGGTTAAGTTTTGCATCATTCACTTTGCATTACAATTTCTCATCTATTACAAACTGAAATGTTGATAAAAATAAAACTTTACTGTGATGAAGACAGAGTCTGCAACAGGTCTGGTTAGCAAGACTCACCAATAATGAATGCAATCCCTGGTTTTGACAAAACATTAACAGGAGCTAACATTAAGTTTGCAGCTTCCAGCTGTTCACTGAGTTTACTGCAGACCTGCAGCATCAGACAGCAGGATCCAATTAAGCATCACCAACAAGTGAGCATTACAAGCATTTATGCACATGGAACAACACTAATTAAGTCATCTAGTATTCCTAATTATAAATTAACCCCAGCATGGAGACAGGATCGAACAGTAAGTCACACTGTTGACAAACGTCCGAAATATTTTTTGGTCATGACTGGTCAGAGACTTTTCAGTGTTGTGTGCATGCATTTTTCCACAAACAACAACTAGAACATGACCTCATCCTAAAACTCCATTTTCTGTAAATAATGGAGCTCTTAAGAAAATCATTTCTGTATATTAAATGACACATTTGCAAGTGTTTCTATGACAATTATTTCCTGCCAAAATAGTTGAGATGTAACTCTACACCATTGCCTTCTTAAGAATGTCCAGATTTATGATGTCCACATCTTTGCCTCCACCAACATCTCAACAGCTTTCTGGAGCTTCAGCACACACATTTAACTACAACCGTGCTCAAATACTGCAAGGCAACAGACTCTTACAGAAGGGGGGCTTTAATGTGTTTTCCAAATTATGGCAAGAAGTAGCGAGTAAAAGTATAAAGACATTTTAAGTTGTTGCAGCAAATTATCATCAAATATTAACAGAATTTTCAGTGTTAAAATAATAAGTAAACTATTTACCAGGTATGTGGACGGTCTGCCGAGTTTATTAGCCTAAATGTAGTTTTTGGTAATGAGTGCATTAGTATGTATTATAATATATTACTATCAAATCAACATGAGGTAAGACACATGACTTAAGGTGTCAAACCTCGACAACACTACGCAAAATGATCTGTATCACCAGAGTAGTACCAATTCAACTTCTGCAATGGAATATTGAGAAGAAATGTGTTAATGAGATCTCACAGTTAGGTTTATTGCAGCTGCATTGGTAATGTTCACTTAAGCAAAAGCTCCCTGACAAGAGGTCAAGATATTTATCTTTATTTACGGAGTAATTTGCAGTAATGTGTTAACATTAGAGCAATGATGATGTTTTTTCAATGAAGCTAATTCACACCTAAGCAATATCTATGCAAATGTGTACACTGTAGTTTTAACACTGCACCCTCAGTAGAAGCGTTAGCTATAATCATATTACAATAAATATACACAGTCAGCTGGGAAGAGAAACACTTAAAACATTAAAATAAACACCACATTTGTGATAAACCTATCTTGGCCTCTCCCCACACCTTTCTGTTTTCACTCCTTGGCTGCCAGCCACCCAGCAGGTGACCACATGGCAGGGACACAGGACTTAAATCACTGTTTCTCCTCGCAGCATGTGTTAGCAGTACCTCAGGAACCGAGGAATCAATCTCACGGCGAACTCTCAGTTGTACAAGATTTTGCGACGAAAAACATGTAACAGAATGTGTGAAGAGGAACGAGCGAAGAGTGCAGAGCGATCAGTGTGACCCTGTGATGTTATGAGTCCCTGTTAACCAGTGTTTGTTTGTTCAGTAATATGTTAACAAGTTCAACAAGTCATTTTTAAAGTAACTTGTTATTTATGAAAGGAGATAGCAGATCTGTCAGGTTGTAATGCTTTTATAAGTGCACAAGGCAAAATATTGATGTATGTAAAAATGTGATGCTTTAATGATAAATTAAGGCTGTAAAAGTGTGAGCCTTCCATTTCCACTAATTGAGAGCCTGCAGATTCACACAAATGGGTTCCTGTAGAGCTATAAATGAGTACCGAGAAAGCTGGACTCACCAATCACAGCTGTCCAAACAATGTGAATCAGGTAAAATCTTGTTGACCGACATTACATTATACAATACAGGGGTCTGTCACTGCCGCTACGAAAGCAGACTTGCAAAGTTGCCTGTGGAGCTATAACTTTATACCGCTATGTCCCGAGAAGCAGCTATCCACCTAACGATATTTCCACTTGCGCCACTCACTCTAGCCATTCAAACCATGGGATTCGAGAAAAAACTTTTCACTTACGGTCGTTGCAAAACGAGCCTCCATAGGACGTCATGGTGCAGTCGCAGGTGAAGCCCTCCCACTGCTGGAGACACACTCCCTGATGGTAGCAAGACTCCTCCGTACAGGTGGTACTGGGTCCTGAGGGTATGATAAAATACACGAAAATAGTTTCAAACAAACAAACACAAAAAATACAATTAAGGAAAATTCATGTGGAAGACCACAGATAGCACAGAGTAATGTACTAATCAAGGTCTTATTATATATATATATATATATATATATATATATATATATATATATATATAGCTGGCCCAGGCGGTTGTGCTGGCAGTGTACTCCTGCAGACAATGACAGCAAAGGATGCATTTTAAAGCTCTATTAATCATTACATGGTATTTATATTCAGGCACCCCCTGTGGATTCAAAGGGTTGCTTTTTCTGCCACACACATTTTGCACCTTCAGCAACCTTTAGAAGCTAGTTAAAAGACTTAAGCATTTGCAAAATAAATGTTTGATCTACAAGTTGGTGAACCCCAAAAAAAATGTAAAATGTTGTTAAAGTTCTGCGTACCAAAATTGAAAGCTTTTTCAGCATATTTCTGTGCGTGTGTGTGTGTGTGTGTGTGTGTGTGTTTAGGTAGGTGGGTGTTGGGTAAAGTTGTTCCCTCCCACTGTCATGGATGGCTGAAGGCATTTAAATTGTCAATTAGAAACTACGCTGTTGTAATTTCTCTGTGGAATTCCAGGCGCTTATTCAGACTGAAAACCCACATTTCTACATCGGATTATACATGCCATTGACCCAACAGGCATTGTCATGTGAACTGACATGATTCACCGAATGTTTTGTCTTTGTTGGCTCTGTGTTATTAGAAGCTAATACAGCTGATTGAAATGAAGGAAGACAAGATCTTAATTAGTTTTCCTTCCAAGAAAACCTGATTTCAAATAATTGTTTTCCAAATTAGATGGGGAAAAGCTGAATGATAGATCTAAGATTAGGATGCAGATCAAGTCTTAGGCAAGACAGTTGTGTTCTAAAAAAAATAAGTGTGTGGGTGTGTGTGTGTGTGTGTGGAGGGGGGGTGTTATGTTGGTGGAAGTAAGGTTTCTCATTAAAATCTCAATTAAACATAGACATTTTCAAAGAACCATGGTTCAATGCTAGACTAATTTGTTTCCGCATAGATAAACAGACATCTCACTGTGCCATTTACAAATGGCCTAAATAAAAAAACCCCCCCCCCCCCCAAAAAAAAAAAGCACACAAAAAAACAACTAAACTGCCAAAAACATACATATGAAATATAAAGTTCTACCTCCATACACACACCAATATATGGCAGTTTTTTTGTGCTCCCAGATATCCACTTTCTACCTCCTTAACTGCCTAACTACGCTAATTGACCCATTAATTACTCACTAATAAAAAAAGGTTCCCTTCAGGATCTAATTAAGCATATTGTCATAATTAATAACCATGTCATGTAATCACTTCTTCAGTCTTCCTTTAAACTATTGATTGGCCTAACATCACTATTGTGTGGCTGCCTAAGAACCTGTTATTAGGTGCCTCAGGTTTGTTGGAGCATAAAACTCCATCTGCTGTGTTTGGGAAAATCTTGAACAATATAGGGAGGGAGCAAGACTAATAACTAAGTAAACACACATCTCCATTCCCCTGCTGCTGTCAACTGTGTGTTCATCAACAGCTTGGTTACATCTGAAACATCTGCTTCCACACTAATAGTGAGGAGATTTGTTTGAGTCTATGATTCAGATTCTGCGTTAGAGAGCAGCCGGGATGAGTCAACGTTCACGTCAGCAATCATCACTGGTCAACAGAGGTGGGTCTGACTGTTGGACTGTCAACGCACAGTTCTTCTGTACTCCCCAAACACCCCACTTGATAGATTTTGCTTCCTGTGACTTCCTCCTCTTGCCCAAACTGAAACTGACATCGAAGGGCTGCTGTTTTGACAGTGTTCAGGAGATTCGGCGCTCATCGCAGAGAATGCTATTCCGTGGGGACTTTGAGCAACGGGACTTCCAGGGAGCGTTGTCAGTGTTGCAGGAGCGCTTGGAGCGCTATCGCTGTACGAGAAGACTATTTTGACTGCGATGGCAGCCAAATATAAATCAGGTGGTGTTTTTTTATTTTTATAGACATAGCCTCAGAACCGTTTCATCAACCCACCTTATTCTATTTCTGCGATGTCCTTGTTACATATTTATATAGACTGATATGGAATGTTTTTGGTTTTTTTACCTTTTTTTTTTTTTTACCATTCTATTTTCATTTTTTTGACCTCTTTTCTTTGTGCCTCCCCTCTTGAGTTACAGTGAGTCAGCAACACTGGTTATGTACCTGCACTTCAACTCTCTTGGTCTCCTTCCCCTTTTCCCGGCGTTGTTCTATGATCTGCAGAGTCAGTGGGGAGCTACAAGAACAAGCTCAGAGTTCTCGCCTTTGTCTGGCTTAAGTCTGGAGAGACTGGACCAGCAGCCACCTCTGACCACTCTGTATCCCCGGTCCATAAGCTAACAACGACCTCAGAACCAAGTTGGTGTGGACTTTGTCTGTGATCCACAACCAGGAAAACAGTGATTTTTTTTTTTTATTTATTTATTTTTTAAAGTCATCGTCACTTCTTATTGCTTTAGTGACCCAGTAATTTAGAGATTGGATCTTATCTGTTGAAATAATCAATCAACAGTAGAAAAATAGACATTATAAACATAATTTAGCTGAGATGACATCAACAGTGTTTGGCTTTGTTGGCATATGATAAGGACTGATACTGTGAATTTGGTTATAAATAAATAAAACATATAACTAATGAAAAGGGATGTTGGCAGCTCAGCAGTTAAGGCCTCTAGGGAAGGCCCTTAACCCTGCCGGCTCCAGAGATGCTGTAGTGTAGCTGACCCTGTGCGACCCCAGCTTCCTAACAAGCTGAGATATATGAGAAGTGCATTTTGTGCAGTGACAATAAACTTAAATCACATCTTATTTATCTAATTTTTTTTGATGTATTCTTGTAATATCAAAAAGAGGAATACATGGCTTTGCAACAGCTGCAGGACTAGGTATACTAATATTTATCAAAAGAGTCCACCCTTCCAAAACCGGTCAATTACAACTGCTCAACTCCCTGGCATATCCAATCATTAACTAATATTAGCATCCAGTTCGTGTGCCTGCGGGAGGCAATATGATTGCTTAATGCAGTTTTAAACTGTGTTTGGAGCCAAGTAATTGTGGTGTATAACTGTAGGCAGGTAATAAGGCTGGCTGGCAGAAGTAGCAGCGTTAGGGAACAAGAGGAAAAAAAAAAAAAAAAAAAAGGCTGGATCAGTGCTGCATCGAGTCGGCCAGTGTGGCCCTCAGGGAAATCAAGTCTGTGCTCTCTGACGCTCAGTATGCCATTGAGACATGGTGGAGGGGGGTTAAGGGTGGGGTGTGTGGAAAGGGGAAAATGCTACAGCCAAAATCCACTGTTATACTCACGATTAACTACCCAACAGCACGCAGCCTGAGACACGGTGGCGGACTACGCACAGCAGAGGTAAAAACACGACAACTGCAAGATTGATGAAGCAAAAGCCAGTGAGGGTGGGATGTTGCTGAGATTAGCCACACTGAAAATAACATTAGAGCGGAAAGATGCCTCCCTCATGCAGGTTTTATGGGGCAATAGAGAGGATAACAGAGGACAGACTGTAAAGACATCCCCCAGCTCGGAGAATTTGGGCGTGGTTACTGGTGCATATCAGGGAATAACAACCATGGAAATGCACTTACTGCACTGGTATATTTTACTGGAAGCATAGTTTAAGTAGCAGCCTTGTGTATGATTGGGCCATAGAAGGAAACCGCTCCAATGTATGAGTGTAAATAATGACGAAAGTACAGCAGCTATTAAAAATAGATGTTTTTGTTTCTGTCTCTGAAGAGTACACTCAGCTCCTGGACGGTTTTTCTTCTAACTTCTGCCATTTTTTCAAACTGAGCCAACCTTGATGAATAATTGTTGAAAAGTTGGCATCAGCATTGTTTGTTACTTGTAACAGGAACACTGTATTACACATTGAATAATGACACTTAAATCAGTGCTATTTGATATCCCCTTGTGACTCAAGGGTGAGATAATTGCTGATAGATCTTTACCTTTGCAGAGAAGATCGCTGGCATTAGTGAACAGGGAGGATTACAATTACACATGAAGTCTGTATGTGATAGAAGACAGTCCACTACTCACCATCGCAGCCTCGTTCCACCTGGCCCACCCTGTGGAGGGCATCTGCGATCAGGTCAGGGAGTCTCCCATTCAGGTCCACAGAGGCCAAACAGCCCTGGTACCCGTCCCGAGATGCAATCAGTTTGGGCAGATTGCTATACATGCTCTTCGTCACGCCACCGATGTACAGCTCCCCTGCAAGAGACGCACATAGCAACAGTGAGTGTGAAACTGAGAGGAAAAAAAAGTTTGAGTAAATTCTTATTACGCGCATGCAGCAGTCATTACTTGTTTGACAATTAACTCCTGACATTTGGTAATATTACAAAACCAAACACATTCAGACAATGACCACTTTCATTTCAAAACAATAAGGACAATTTGCTGGCTGAGGTAAAAATGTCATTGAAAATGTAGTCTCGTATAGCCTCACTTCATTATCATTCTGCTGTGGACGGCAAAAACACAGCGGCTTGTTTGTGTTTCTTTAAACCAATCACAACGGTCCCTCGAAATGCAAAGTGAAGCATTCAACCACTGTATGCCTTCAACATAGCGACGGGGGAATTGTTTTGGTGGCACATTTGACGCATAGAGGACAGCATTGTAATTAAAATGGCTATTTCATGAAGGGGAAAAATACAAATAAAAATAAAATACCGTGGCTGCCTTATTGCACGATCCGAATACTCAGAAAACCTTGACATTTTCAGTGATGTGAATTTTTTGTGAATGTGTAATTACAAATCCATCACCTCGATTCCATTAAAAAAAGTGACCTATTGACAATAAGCCCCTGTCATTTTAAACAACTGTACGTGTAATGGAAGGCTGTTCCTCAACATGGCAGCAGTGTAAAAAATAAAGACCCACCATAAACCATAAGGTTGGTCAATCGATAAATACTTAAACACTCAAATGAACCATTGCTGGATACAGCCACGTGAGAATTGCAACAGCATCACTCAATGTGGTAATAATCAGCTCAAAGATGATTAGGAATGCTCGGGTACATGTGTCTCAAACCCAGGATTGATTCAAAATTCTGACAATATTGCAAAGGTTGATAGAAATACACAGAGCATCACTATTACGTTACACATAACACACTATTAAAATAAATTATCAGCTCCATTGATCATTTTCAAAGGCCCAAGTCCAGCCAACTCCATTCTACATAACAGAACGTGTACAATAAAATCATAGCCACGACACTGACTTTTTTTTTTTTTAGGGTGGTGTTCACCTTTTGTATTTTTGAAGGTCACTTTTTCAAAATTAAATTTCATTTGCAGTCAAAACTAATTCCACAAAGGAATCCAAAGGATTGTGCTGCAAAGTCACATTATAAATCTCCACAGCTTGGTTGCAATCTAATATTCTCTTATAAAAATGCATTTGTATAATGCAGCATTGCAGGAAAACCTGAAACACCATTAAATATGGAGGTAGATAATATAAGACGCCATAGTCAGCCATTTGATTATGATGGATAATCATGTATAAGAACTTAATGCTAATTAACATGCACTTTAACATGACCTTTACTGTACCCTACATAGAGAAAAGTCAATATGCGAAGAGGAACTGGAATGATTAATCGTCATACCTTAGGGATACTGTACAAAATTGGCAATAAAAATGTTTTATTGGTCACTGCTGGATTAATTAGCTAATCTTTTATGGTTACATAGTGTTTCTGCTGTGGCTGTGAAGGTGTGTGCGCTGCCAAACACGTGTAGCAGACAGCAAACATTACAGTCGCCGAGAGACAAAGAAGTGACATTTTAAAGCCAAGCAGTGTGGATGTTGGGAGGTGTGCTCCTGAGAGACATCCCTGACAAAATGCTTGTCATTACAGAGGCGGCATGAACATGTTTTGACTATTACATGATTCAAAGAAGTAGCTTACAGCTGACATGAATAGACTGTGCGGCATCAAGCCTGGAGTATTGGATATGACATTTGATGCTTGACAGATTTATTCCATGAGCCTGTCCATATACTGTACTCTCCTGGAAGCAGAGCAGAATGTACTCGGCAGCACAAACTCATGAAGGAAGCAGAATTTGTGAATCCTCAGAGAGATGATAAAGATGAATTTTGGGAAATCTCAGTGCTCAAGTACAATTAAGGTCTCTTTATATTACGACATAAAAGGATATACCCATCCACTTTTAAACCCAATTATTTTCCCCCTCTCTCTTTTTCTATCTCAGCCCTCAGTTCTGTAGAGTTTTGCAGAAAATGCCAAGTGAAATTATGAAAAACACAAAGAGGCCTTTGATGTAAGTGCATATGAATAAACACGGTTTGAAATGCTTCAGGCTTTTCATATCATCAAAACCCCTACTTTATGCTTTATCTTTAAGTAAGCATAAAATGAACACAAGCAAAACCTTTCACACAGGGGCGAGATCCTGCTACAAAGATAAGACCAGAAGAAAACCTTTATTTTTCCACTGCTAAAAAACGGAACTTTCAACTGAGAAGCAATGAGCCACAAGGTCAATTATATGTGGACTTTGTGTAATGGAATGAGTCAATGATGTTTGCCAACTCCTCTCTAGAATTAATGAGTACTTGACACTTCATATTTCCCAGCCAGGGCTCCCGGGCTTTATAATCAATACAATGAATTCATTAGCTGTCCAACTGAGTGATGTCCTGAAATCAGGCCTGTAAGAACCATTTAGCAAATATGAAATTATCGGTATGGAGTTAATCTCAAAAGAGCAAACAGTGCATTTCCGCAGACGTCAACAGAATGTTTGAGATTCCACTGGCTGACTGCATAACTAGACCAGACACGAGAGGAGGGAGGGAGGGAGGGAGGGCTGCGCCAGATGCACTGTAAAAATTAGTCATGCAAGTTTTGTTTTCTTTCAGTGAAGTAAAGACTATAAATATGCAGCACACATACACACACCCACTCAGTGAACTGGGCTCTCATTGTGTTCAGTTTGGAGTTGAATACTTTTCATTTGAATTACAGATTTCTTTGGGTAAAGTTTTGACTTCCTTGTTCATTTGGGCCAGGGATGTTTTGTTCTGCAGCATATATTACAGCTCGTATACGTTCTATTTTTTATTTTTTTTTAATACAACATGGCTTCAGCATCGTTAGGGGTGTTTGCTTTGAACGTTCTGATATCCAACATCTAAAAGCTGCGAGAAACAAAGCCGGCGCGTGAGATATCAACAATGTCTCAACAAGCACTGATCCAAGTTGTGCTACATAGACTCACACAGCCGAGTGACCCGACGCAAACTTCTTATCTATTATTTCTTTCTTATTTATGCAGTGGAAAGCTGTTATTTCACAAAATCAAAATGAACACAACATTCTTTTTGCTCATTAACCGTTATTTTATATCTGTTGACTGAGAGAGGTCGTTATTAAAGAGGTGTTTGTTTTCCCGCTCAGTTGGAAAAAAATAAATATCTCTTGGTGCGGCAAAAGGTGTTGCGTTTCTTTTCTCACTTCTGTAACAATGACTGTGAAAGTTAAGTAGCTATACGGCGTAGCAAGAAAACAATGTGTTGAGTGTCGATTTAACTTGTGGTTGTGGCTTAGGATGCTGAGAATAAAGTAACCCACAATATGGATAGAACTAACATCTGAATGGAGGCAATATGCTGTGCTTGATACAAACCTTACCTATCAAAAGCCTTACAGGTCTTTAGGACTGTTGTCGAGCAGGAGAAGTAAAATGATGACAAACCATTTTCCTCCCAGCCAGAGACTGTGTCTTGCTCTGACTCGGCTGTCCCAGCAGTGATGCATGCCTGTGGTGCTGAGGAGCTCAAAAAGATCCACAAGATGGGACCAATTACAGCCTCCAAGACATCACCAGAGAGCGCCACCTCCACATCTCTACGGTTACCATAATGACCTCTCAGGGGCCGATGGGAGGAATCGGGATGCTTGGATATGGGGCCCAGGAGAGCCTTTGACAGCACCATCTGGAAGAGCGTACTGACATTACATTTATTCTAGACCATCATTGTTTTTAGAAGATTTTAAAGTGAGAAATCTCTGTGACGATGGTTTTGTCTTTTGTAGTGTGGACACCTCTATTATCCAGCTTTGCTGATCTAAAAACTTGATCTGTGAGTCATTGGAAGATGGGTGGATGACCTTAGGACCTAAAGTAGCTATTCACAACCAGTTCTTTCTCGAGTGAACAAGCACATGGATGGAAAAATAATTTGATAACTGACATTTTCACTTTCTTAGAAGTGCAAGATATAAACCCAGTATATGTGATATTCATTTGTTTGATATATATGCATGTATGAACAATGGGGTGTGGTCATATTTTTATGCAATCCTGTATATAATATGAAAGTTTAAGGATTTATACGTGATTTAAAACAACATACTCTTCTATTTCAAGGCTGGCAATCAAATTTAAGCAAATTGGTGGAACTGACTATGTTCATCTTTTTATTAACAGTGAGATTTCCTTGAGTTATATCTCAGCAGTGTTGAGATGACACTCAGAGACTTGCTATAGTGAATCAATTTGCAGCTATTGTTCCCTTGTTATAAATATGGCGAGATGTGACTTTTTTTCTTCTTCTTCTCATCTTTCGAGCAGAACATTGCTGACTAAGCAGCATTGTGATACTGTGAAACATGGCATCAGAAGTAAATGAAAGTGTCAGAAGTCAAATTGTTATTTCTAAGCAAAAAGGGACTTTCTCAGAGTCGATTCTGAAGGTTAGACTGAAGGCTAGACAAAGGGGGTACTGCAGGGCACTCTAAAATGCTTTGCAGAAACTGAATCACTTGTATCCAAAGCACGATCAGGCAGACCCAAAGTGACCACACCATCAGAAGATCAATACATCACGCTGAGAGATAGAAACGAAAACTTCAGCAGACATAGAATTTGCAAAATTTCTTTTGCTTTGCTATTTTAAGTGTGCTTCACACAATAATACTAAACAGCACAAAGACTACTTTCCTCTCTTTTAACAGCTTGCATTATTGACTATAAGATTGAAGAAACCTGTGATACTAATTGAAGACGGGAGTCTGCTTTGAATATCGCTACAATCCACTCACCACTGGGATTTCAATAATTCTGCCCAGACAATGTCAGATCTCTGTAGAATGAGCAAGAATTAATCTCTTTTACAGCTTATTTATTGGATTCTATGGCAAACCAAAGGCACGCAGGTATGCT